CATAAATCAAATCCATATACATACACATGCAATATAATACCTTTGACAGATCAAATAAATAAGCCAAATCTTTAGCACATAATATTATATAACAGGAAAATAAAATATATGCTTTAGTTACCACTAGTTAAATAATGAAGAAACATTTACCTTACCAATAATATTCTTCGTTACATACACACAAACCAAAAAACATCATCTCTGTACATGGTCTGATTTCCCCCTCCCTAGTTGGGAATAAATATTTTAAAAATAAGTAATGATTTATGCATACAGAGTGTCTTAAAATCGAATGTTTAAGATTTAAAGAATTATGTCTATATTTAAATAGCCATAGAAACATGTGTATCATATACCTCAAAATTATGCATGTAAATAATTTATTATTTTTGATTTATTTTTAATTTAATTAAATAAAAATACTAAGACTAGATACTAGACTTCCCAAAAATCCGGACGTTATAATTTTTAGCGATTAAATAAAACTTTCAATAATTTCTGAATAAAATAAAAATAATACAAAACATCGAAAATATAAATATAAAAAATACGTATTTTTGTAGTTTTCTTTAACAGCACGAGCTTTGAAATTATAAATCAACAAAATGAAATATAAGTCGCTTTAAAATTTATTGCGGCTTTAGCTGAAAAAACGTATTTGCGGTTTTTAACACATCGAGCACGCACCATCTCCTTTTTTTGTTTATCATCTTCGTTTAATCGCCATATTTCTTGTTCAAGTTTATTCTAAAATTTCTACAGTTATTTTAGGCTTTCTGGATTATTTCAAAGGAAAATTGATATTAGTTTTTTTGGTTTATTTTGACTTTAATTTAGTATTGATTCCACAGTTACTATACATATGCTTTTTGATTTTTTTTTAATTTTCAGAAAAAAAAAGTTCAAGTATGATTTTTTTTTTTAATCAATAAAGTTTAAATGAGGAGCAGACTTACTAAATGTATTTTGTCCATTTTTCAGATTTTCAACCATTGGTGGCATTGCAAACTACATATACACAGAGTTACAATATGATGCCAAAAACAACGTGTTAAAATCTCATTCGAATTAAATGGCGAAAATAATACCTTAGACTATCTATGTACTTTATGTCCATTGGCGGTAGACAAACAAACAGAAGTATGTCCTTGTGTGCTGTGGACATGCTGCGGTTTGTTTGTCATTGCCAGATGAAGAGTTTTTTTGTACAACAACTTCTCTTTTTTTTTGAATAATACTACTTAGAATAATGAATGGAACTACGACTGGAACCCATGTAGTTGGGGATACGGGCCGTGGTAGCAGAAAAATATAGAGAAATTTCACGTCTAAAAAAATCAAAAAAACTGTTGACGGACCATATATTATTTTTTTTTTATTTTTTTTTTCAGATATATCATCAAAACTAGATTTTTCAGATGTAGGTGTACTATTTTTATATTTTTTTTATGCATTTTCAAGTACACTAGTTTTTCGGCAAGTTTCTTGTAAAAAGCGTGTCAGTATTTCCTTGTTTGTTAAAATTCGAAAAATGGATAAAATGTATCTATAAAATCTGCTCCTCAAATGTTTCCCAAAATCTGTTGTTTTTACAGTTATTTTTAAAATTCATATAAAAATTCCAGAAAAACAACAAAAAAGTGTATACTCTATTTGTATATTCTATTTTAGGTATATATATTTTTAAGTCATATATTAGGTACCGTCTATACCTATGAACTATAAATTTTAGTCGAATTGGTTTTTATTTTTTTTAATAAAATTAGTTCCTTTAATTTGCTGTCTTAGAATGACGATTTGATAACCCAAAAACAGTTTTTTTTGAACGTAGTCGCGTGACAATTTTGTTCAACGTTTCTGCACCACCAAAGTATTGACCCACGCGCCGCCACTGACAGCGGGACATATTCCCTAAGCTTATTTTGTTGGATGCATAAAAGTGTTTACAAATAGCGCCTTTTTTTGAGAAGCTCGTTTCTCTTTGGATTCTAATCAAGTAGAATTATGTATTTTTTTATTTCTGTTTTAATATCAAAGATAGAAAGACAAAAATAAAGGCCTAGTCGGTGAGATGAATTATAACATTTTTAATTTTAGTTTTTGTAATATATTTTTTGTCTCGCTAAGAAGAAAACAATGTTTTTGTAATAGTTTTATTAAGAGAGAGATGGAGGACTACACTCTGTAAAACCGTCTCAGATACTGGCTTTTGTAAAAGCACTGGAACTATATGATGAGTGATAACTCAAGAAAGGGGGACACAATAGATCTGTAAGGTCGCAGTGATCAACCCCCTCACACTCATTCTACATTCTACAATAAAACTATTTATTTGACAGTATTATTAATTTTTAATTGCACTTGTGGCTTTCTTTAGTCGATTTATTTGTGATTTTGTTTTTAATTTACTGTAATTGTAATTTTTAATTTGTTTTATTAGATTGTGGTCGCCGTAATAAAAAGACAGACTTTATAAAAACTAAACGCATTGGATAAAAAAATTAGCTAATTTTCTCCAAAAATTTGGTTGTCACTCATTCATTATTTATGGTAAACCACGATATGATATAATATTTTTTTTACAACAAAACTGCTATTTGAAGTTAACATTAAATATATTTTCATCTACCATTTTACACCTAAAAAAGAGTTTAGATCTACATTTTGTTAATACTGTTGCAAGTAGAAATTTATCTATTCTGTTAAATAAATAAGTTTTTTTAAAATTTGGTTTCTTATTCTTTGGTTTTTATTTCTAAGAATCATAAGGGAGTTGATTCATACATAAATAAACGTATTGTACCAATTCTGCTAAGACTCTCTTCTATAATTTTCAAACTTCTTTCTTCAATTTTCAAAGAAAATGTGCTATAGTAAGATATTTCTGTAGGGTTTTCGGTGTTAACTTTGTTACGTTGTACTAGTTAATCTTTAGTGCGTTCAATATTATGTGATTCAATATTTTTCTTATGCAAATCACTAAAGTCTTCTCCAGGCAACGACTTTCTTAAATCAGCAATTTCTTTCTTCTTAAGAAGATAACTTCTAGACCAATCTGTAGTCAATATATATTTTGTCGTTTATCATCGTGAATATTAAGGAAAACATCTTATTAATTTTTTTTCCCATAGCAACTGTTAAAATTGCCTTATATCTATCAAAAATAGTAGATAAAATAGTACTTTAATTTTAATTAAATCATTTATTTATTATATTTATAATTAAAATTATTAATTTAAGATTAAATGATAATTTAACCAGCGAGGATAGGTTAAAAACTTTATTTCTTCTCGCACGTTTTTAAATTGCTTTCATTTTGAATTTTTTTGTATTCCTTTTCATAAGTTATTCGGGATTTAAATGGAAGTAGTTTGGATATGGCGTTTGTTGCCTCAGCCTGAATATCTGTTGGTAATTTACTTATTTCGTTTTGAGCCATTTCTGGCTCCAATTCAATCAGCAATCGACACGAAAGAGAATTAAAAAATATTGACTCAAAACTGACAACCAAATAGACAGCTTTATTTATTTGTCAAATTACATAGAAACCAACGCCAACCCAGAACAATATTTTTCTACTCGTAATAAATTCCTTGAAATCATAATTTCTGAATATTTTTTAAAACGTAACTGGCTATGGAAAAAAATATTGTGTTATACACGACGATAAAATTGCATTATCGTCGCCCGAAATTAATTCACATCAATCTTTTCGGTCGAATGGTCTTGTATAAAAAATAACTATTTTTCTCAAAACCAGCTTGTCAAACAGTGTATAAAGTTAATACTCAATTCTAATTACCAGTCAGTAAATGGTTTATTGCGTAGTATTAGAGTATTAACTGTAAAACCCGACAATGAAATTATATCATTCTAAACAAGGCAATAAATACATTGAATACTTTGATAAAGACTTGGAGGAGCTCTTTGTTAATCTAACAATATCAGGTAAAAGAAGACGGAAAAATTTGCAATATTTTAAAACCAATAAATGAAAGATTAGTTCTAAATGGGTTTACGGCCAGCCTTTGTAACCACAAATTAGGTATTATTATATTTCTATAGAATTATATCACAACATTAAAATTTAACGATGTTAAAGATACCGAAGTACAAAAAAGTCAAAATTTGAAAATGAAATCACTTTTGAATCTGTTAATAGGAAGGGATAATCTTCCTTGATGTATGGGAAATAAAATACATTTTATAGAATTATTTTTTCCTGAAAAGTATATTGTTAATTCTTTGAAATCTCCAAAAATTACTAATAAAGATCTTTCATACTAAAAAAGCAGAACAAACAAAAACATAAAAAAACAAAAATTGTGTAAAATAAATTACATTAATATAAGCTATTAAATTTAAATATTAATTCGATAACCTTTATATTACCTTAAAAAATAATTTAATAATTAAAATTATATAGAAACCATATATACCCATATACCAAAACTTCAAACTTCAGAATAAAATAATTATTAATTATTTCTCTAAATGGCTAATAAATAAATTTAAGGAAGTAATAAATCTCAATCAAAAATACCCCAACAGGCGAAAACAAGGTAAATATTAATTTTCTTCTGCCCCACCCCATCCTTACACACTAACAACTACAAACTCGACTGACTCTCTTTTGAACAAACCGAAAAGCAATCCAATTACGAAAAACGTCAAAAAACCGCCTAAAAGCACTAAATTTCCCACTCGTACGTATTAGGCCCTTAATTAGATTCAATAAAGCTCGCATCCTTCCCAAAAGGAAAACGCAAAAGCCCGCCGGTACCGGCCATGACGCATGCGGTCGCCCTGCGCGATCAACTCAATTCATCAACGAGACCGCGCGCAGCCTGATTGGCCAGCAGGACGCACCAAAACCCACACCATTGGTCGGAGGGAAAAGGACAGCAGGGGCGGCTCGAACCGTGCCATTGTTGGGCGTCGACCAATACCGTCGCGAGGCGGTCGCCGTCCTTTTAATCTTGGGTAAATGTTTTCACAGGATCAGTTCAAACGGCTCCGAAGCTAACTAAACACACACAGAGATACCGGCACCGCGTTTACGAGTGTTTGTTTCCTAAACTGATAAGTAAAGTGACATGTGGTGACAGGTTGTTGAGTTTGTAGAGGGTTGAGAACCATGCCGCGTCCAAGTAGGGATAGCTACGGCGACCAGAAGCCTCCGTACTCTTATATCTCTTTGACGGCGATGGCTATATGGAACAGCCCGGAAAAGATGCTGCCTCTTTCGGAAATCTACAAGTTCATCACGGACAGGTTCCCGTATTATCGGAAAAACACGCAAAGATGGCAGAATTCACTTAGGCACAACCTCTCCTTCAACGACTGTTTTATCAAAATTCCCAGACAGCCCGATAGGCCAGGAAAAGGGGCATATTGGGCTCTCCACCCCGCAGCTTTTGACATGTTCGTAAACGGAAGCTTGTTAAGACGGCGAAAACGCTTTAAACTGCTAAAAAGCGACAAGGAGATGCTTGAAAACGAACTGGCAGCCCTGACGAACATCAATCGGTTATTCTTCACGCCTCCGTCTAACCCGGCTGAAGTAATTAACCCAGCGGCATCACTGGCACCTGCTTTGGTGCCTCCAATTGAGCCTCCATCACCGACGCTGACGAAAGCTCCCACGGAGCAAACCACCTGCATCCGGCCGAAGAGATCTTTTACAATAGAATCATTAATATCGCCGGATAAGCCTACTCCAATTGTTCCAAATGCGACCCATCATATATTGCCTCACGTGCATCCTTGGGTGTTATCATCATGCTATGACTTAAGTGCTTACGCTGCTCCTATGTTAATGCAAGGAGCACCACCAGGACATTTTGACTACGGATTAGCCAATGGTAGCGACGAGGTCTTCAGGGTGTCACAGTTATAGTTTGGTACATTGGTATGAGTTCCACGAGTCGAATTTGATGATGAGTTATTTGAAAAACACTAAACTGAAGTGTGAAGTTAGAATTAAACGTACCTTTTCTCTAGACAGGCAAGTTAGGTATGTGCTTTGATCTCTTAAGAATTTTGGCGATTATACAAATGACATTTCTTCGTGTTGAATGACGTTTGAATAATGTAAAACAACGATATATTAATGTGCATTGCTTACGCTTTTACTGTGAATAGAGTATAAATGTGATTTATTTTATTTATCGGATTTGTTATCGGAATCACAAACCGGAAACAAGACAGAACATTGCATTTTTTTGTATTGCAAGTGTATTTCATCTAAAAAGAAAAGAAATGAATGCAAAGAGTTTTAGAAACAATAAATTCAAACACATATAACAGGATATTTTATATTTCTTAATTCTTCCAAAAAAAAACACTTATACAAAATATATATTGAAAAATAAGAAACAAAAGTAAACGCAAAATAAATGAAAGATGCAATTTTTATTGCATTGTAAATGTATTATATTAATCTGAAACTATATAACTGAAGAACTATGAAATTTATAGTTCGGCAAATGCACTTGTTAGTAGCAATATTTGTTTCTTAAAAGTTTTATTTGTTTCAATGAAGGATATTTATTTATAATAGATTTTAAATTATGAATAAAGCACTTGTTAAAGAATTTTAGCACGGATACATAAAGTTATACAAGTCCATCACAATACAACAAAACTCTTGATTTTAAACTGTGGACGCATATTTCACTAACCATGTAGGATTATTTCACCATATTTCCTAACATGGTTAGCCAAACATGCATCCAAAATTTAGTGTTTGATTTCGTAATATAGACTTGTATAATTTTCTGTGAAGTCTTTGTATACCAATTTATTGTTCAAAACTAAATTGTGTTCTATAGAATTTTTAATTTTTGCAATTAATATTGCCACAAAAAAAAAACTAAAACTGGTTTGCAGCCTATTAAAACTCAAATCCTAATAATATTCACTATTGTTTTTTGAATATAAATAGAAATTTTAGTTTTAAATTCGAAGACTTTTGTTTGTGGACTAAATTTTTCTTCTTTTTTTAGCTGATTTATTTTTTTTTGATTAATTTAAAAACTTAAGATACCAAAAACAAGTTAATTTAATATTCAACACGTCTCTTAAATTAAAAACCAAGCTTTCATGAATAATACTATAAATTAAACCGACAATAAATTTCGAATCTGAGAATAAAAAAAGCATTAAAATATATACCTAGGTATAAAAAACTGTTATAATTGGTCACTACCTATAATTTTTGGTTGAATAAAGCATCATCAAAAGCGGATTTAACGCTATATATGTCTATAGACATGTTTAATAGCTTTCTTTTCTACAGGGCCTTCAAATTAAAATAGCCGTTCTATAATTTAAAACACTTTATGTCTTTGCTCATTTAAATGTTTTAGAAAACCATTTTTCATCAGAATTTTTCAATAATAGGTACATTTTTTGGAACAAAGCTTTTGAGTTCTGATTGAAATATATGTATTATATTATTACAATATTGATGTTACGACTTAAAATTTCCTCTGTATATATAGTTTGGTATAGTTCCTGTGAACTCTTACAGAATATCTCAAAAAAAACAATAAACTGTTAAGAAATAATAATATATTAAAAATATTGAGTAATAATTTTGAGCTATTTTGTAACTATGTGTGTAAATAAAAACAAACAATAAAGTAGACTTAAACTAAATGTGATAATACTACTTAAGTTATAATTGAAATTTGTTATTTTGTTAAGTTACTGATTATTTAAACAATTATTTGTACAGGAAAAGTATAATACATAGATTTAAAGTAAAGTCTTTTAGAATTCAATTTGGAGAAAGACTTTAAAAAAGTAATAATGATACTTTCAATTATAAAAATGATAAATTTGTACATAAAAAAGTATTATATACTTAATGCAGTTATATTGATGTAATCTAGGATGTCTTTTCCCTCTCTCTCTGTATTATACATTCAACTGCATCTGTCATAAATATATAAGTAATAGAAAAGATGCTTATTGTTTTTATAACCCTTTTCCTACATAGTCTAGTGAAGTACATACACCAATTTAAAGTTGTATCGTAATGACGAGAATACTCTGGCTAACTACAAGTAACTTTATAATAATAGCATTAACACGAAACAAAAATATTTCGTTTCCTCTATTCAATTTTAATTTGTCATCCATTTTTGCCAGTAATTTTTTTTCGAAGAGTATCGGTTTACCAGTAAAAACAAATAGAAATATTTCTTTAGTAACACCATTTATAACTCAAAAATAGCTGGACCAGATTGTACTGCTTTCTAAGTTGGCTTCCTATCTGATGAAAATATATCTGAAAATGTCTGCAAAATATTATAGAGAGAACTAATTTATAAAATATTGGAAAAATCTAAACAAAAAACTAAATATAATGGAATCTATAAAATATTCTGCTACATTATAATTTGCAGCTAAACGACTAGATTTTTACAAATTGTAAGTTTTGGGTTCGTTAAAGGACTATTAGAGCTACAATTTAAAAATATTTTTACAAGATACAGAGTGTCTCAAATAAATAAAAAATATCAAAGTTGTATTTTTTTAAATGGAACACCCTATATATTATTACATTTTTAATTTCTACGATTAAAATAAAGGTAAATTTGATTAAGGATTATTAAACTTAAACCTTACCGTTTATGAAATATTTTCAATTTTGTGAAATTGCAGTATAAATTTTAAGGCTTCATTTCTCCGAGGGTATCAAAGTTTTTAATACTAAATATTTACTGAAGTTTATTTATTGATCAGTTATTGTGTTGCAATAATAAAAACTTTACTACCTTATACAGAGTGTCTAAAAATTTATTTTAAATAACTACTAGCTTTAAACGGCAATAACTTGTTTGATTTAAATGAAACACCCTGTATATTTTATGAGAATCAGATGCACAATTTAATTGTCTGTCAAATTGTATTATACAGTTTTTTACCTATCTCTTTAAGTGTCCGTAGAAAATGCATTTTCTTGTAATTTAGAACTCATTTATCAATATACCCATGGAATACTGACATTTTAGATTATTTTTAAAGATGTACCAAATTTTTAAAGAGTACTACAGATACTAATATTGTCGATATAGTTCGTTTATTTCATTAAAAAATAAAAAAAAACTGTTTAAATATTTGTTAAAGAGGACCAATTAATATGATTCCAGTATTCAAACTACATTAATTGACTGTTTGCGTTGATTAATAATAATTGCTCCAAATACTAAAAAAACTGAATAATGTATGTGTATTAGACAACGTTGTAAAAAGTAACACCTTAAAAATGATATTTAATTTTTTGACAAATGCTTATTTATAACAACAGAGACGTTCATTTTCATAACTTATTATTATATTGATTTCTGATTCAAATCCACATTTATTTAGAATAATTTATTAACGTACACAATTAAGTATGTAGTTAATTAGTATTTGGGCGGAAATACTGGTGGTATATTTAATTAATGGTATACTCTTTTATAAAGATTAAAATAGTTTTCTTTTTGCATACAAATGGGCTAGTAATATTATCGTTTTACTAAAAACGATAATATTACTAGCCTGTACATTTTGTACATTTGTTGTTTTAAAAACAATCTATAATGTCAATATTCCATATATTTGAGTATATTGAGGTCTAAATTATAAGAAAATACATTTTCTACGAAGACTTGAAGGAATAGGTAAGAAGTGGTATAATACAATTTGATAGACAATTAAATTGTGCATCTGATTCTCATAAAATATACAGGGTGTTCTATTTAAAGTAAATAAGTTATTGCCGTTTAAAGCTAGTAATTATTTAAAATAAATTTTTAGACACTCTGTAGAAGGTAGTATAATTTTTATTATTGCAACACAATAACTGATCAATAAATAAACTTCAGTAAATATTTAGTATTAAAAACTTTGATATCCTCGTGGAAATGAAGCCTTAAAATTTATACTGCAATTTCGCAAAATTGAAAATATTTCAAAAAGGGTAAGGTTTAAGTGTAATAAACCTTAATCAAATTTACCTTTATTTTAATCGTAGAAACTAAAAATGTAATAATATATAGGGTGTTCCAAATATTTTTTAATTGTAGCTCTAATAGTCCTTCAACGAACCCAAAACTTACAATTTGTAAAAATTTAATCGTTTAGCTAACAACCCTGTATAGAAAATACTTCGAAGAAAATATATAGAAATACTTAAATATTCGAGATGTAAACCAAAATATAGATATCAAATGTCAAATGGTTGTCTTCTCGGTGCACTCAGTGATAGGGTGTTCCCCTATATATTCATCGCAGAATCTGCATTCGTCGTTGTTAATCAACTTCAATCTTGAGGAGACAGTGTCCTGTTAGAAACCCCGTAACAATTCGAAGATTGTTTTTACTTAAATCAAGGATAATCTTTAATTTTTCTCGGACGTATAAGTTCTGGATTTCGTTGGAGGATTCCCATTCCATGTTACCGATGGAGCTTCTTGAGTTCCGCTTTAAGTTGGTTTCCACTTGGAAAGCAGAACGGTTCTAGTCCAGTTGGTGGGAGTGTTCGCTCCTTTTCTAGCTAGATACCTTGGTGAGCGGGCATACAGAGTAGGAGGACTTTATTTTCTTTGCCTAATTTGTTCAGCTTCTCTAGGCATTCTTTGACCAACTTCGAATTGATGGTTACTGAGTTGATCGCTTTTAGTGCTGCTTGACTATCGATAGTTCCTATCTAATAGCGTAGATTTCTGTCTGAAAGATGCTGGGGTAGGTGCCCATTGATTTGGAGTTTTAGTTTTTGTGGTTTTGTTGGTAACGTTCTTAATATGCATGTTTCAGAGAAGTTTACTAACCAGGGTTATTTCCAGATATTTGACTTCTTGTGAGGAGCAGTGTCACAGTGTTGACTTGGCAGTATTTCCTTTCCATCTAGACGGATTTTTTTCAAGTTTTTCAGACTTCGCTTTCTGGTGAATGGCACTACCGCGGTTTTGTCAGAGTTGATGCTTAGCCCGACAATCATGCACCATCTCTAAGTGATACGTAGTCCTCTTTATCATAGTAATGGTAGAGTGGGTTTTAGCCACTGGTATTTATACCAACTTATTTGAATTAAATAAATTTGATTCCAACAGATAATAATAATATAATAAATACATTAAAATACAAAAAAAGGTTTTCTAAAAAAACGATGTTATCAAAATATCAGTATCCTTTGTTTCATTTTTATCAGTCTAATGATTTGGTTATTCAATTCAGTGCATCAAATTTTCACAGAATAACAAAAAACAGGTACATATATGATTAGACATTTTCAGCAATAAAAAATTAAATAACAATAAAAATTATTTTTTATCGACTGAAATCAATTACATACAAATGTTAAATTCTACATAAAACATTACCCATTGAGGTTAAAACATTTCTGCAAGAATTTATGTAGACGTGAGGTTACTTTTCATCATTCTTGTACTCTTTCTTTGTTTTTTAAAAAGATGTTAAAGGTTCTGTCAAAAAAAATAAATACCGCAAATCTTATTCACATTCGAATATCTCTTAAATTATCTTAAAAAATGTATGTGTTTTCTCTAACTGACAAACGAAGCAACTTTGTATAGAATTAGGTATATTGTATTTATCCCATTTTGATTCAAAAATACGTAGTAGTTCTATTTTTTTTCTAAAGAAAACGCCTTGCGGTAACCATCTCCTGATGCGTGTCAAATAGTCGTCAGCAAGTAATGACAGTATAACATAGTAGTTCTATAACTATCTATTATTGGGACACCCTGTATATTTTTTCAAAGCTAAATATATAAAATGCCCGATTTATTGAAAAAACTTGTCTTTTCTTCTGAAATATAACATCAGTAATCAGTATCAGCCCATAAACATGCTTATTAAAGAAAACATATTTTTAATTAATTATAACCATGTCAACATTATAAG